CCACACCTAGTTTCTGCCACACCAGTGTCTGCCAGGTACCTCCGCTCCAGCTTAGATTCTCTGTTCCCCAAACTCCATGGGCTCTGCCCACTGAATGTTCAAGTAGGCAAAGTTAAGAAAGAACTTGGTAGAAGCTGGAGAGATGGCTCAGAGGTTAAGAACACTTGCTGCTCTTGCAGAGAAGACCTGGGGTTTGTTCCTACCTCTCACAAAGTGGTTCATAATTGTATGTTACTCCAGTTCCAGGGGATCCAATGCCCTCTGGCCTCTGGGGACATCAGGCACATACATGACACACATGTATACATACAGGCAAAACACATACTGTCTTAGGGTAAAATTGCTGTGAAAAGACACCATAAGCATGGCAACTCTTATAAAGGAAAACATTTAATTGGGGTGGCCTACAGCTTCAGAGGTTTGGTCCATTATCATCTTCGTAGGACATGGTGGCATGCAGGTAGACATGGTGCTGGAGAACGAGGTGAGAGATCTAATCTCGATCCACAGGCAACAGGAAGTAAACGCTGTCACTGGATGCAGCTTGAGCATAGGAGACTCAAAGCCCACCCCCACAGTGAAACACTTCCTCCAACAAGGCCATACCTACTCTTACAAAGACACTCCTCCTAATAGTGCCACTCCCTATGAGTTTGTGGGGGCCAATTACATTCAAACTACTACACATGCCTTTAAAAAAAACTTGGTGTTTGAGTCACAAAAATAAAATTCATGTCATAAATCCATAGGCCATTAGGGATCACAATGGGTTCTGAGGTCAGTGATGGTGTTCTGAGGCCAAGGAACTTGTCCCTTCTCACCAAGGAGGACAATAGTCCCAACTCTGAAGCACAGGATACAGTAGGATGGATTGATACACAACTCCCACTCCTGTGATCCTAGTCCTGTGAGGCTGAGGCAGAAGATCCAAGTTCCAAGCTAGTGGAGCCACAAAACAAAAGTATCTCAAAAGCAGAAGTAAAATTCTGGGCATGCTGGCACACATCTATAATCCCAGAACCTGGGAGGCAGACATAGGGGGACTGGTCATGAGCTCGAGGCCAGCCTGAACTATACAATATGTTCCAGGCTACCTGGAGCAATAGAGTAAGACTCTGTCCCCCAAAACAAACAAACAAAAACAGTGCCAGCAACACCCTGTGTTTGACTTCATTCTTCCTCCTAAAAATCCAGCACCTGGACTTTAAAGAAACCTGATAAAATTCTCAGGCACAAGGGCTGGAGAGAAGGCTCAGTGCTTAAAAGCACTTGCTGCTTTTGCAGAGGGCCTAGGTTCAGTTCCCAGCACCCACATGGCAGCTCACAATTGTCTATAACTCCAGTTCTAGGGGATCTGATGCTCTCTTGTGTCTTCCACTGGCACATAGGTGGTACATGCACATACATGTAGGCAGTCACTTGAACACATAAAATAAAAACAAATGCATTTTTAAATTTCCAGACAGTTATATGAGCTATCTTACTTCCCTGGGTCTGGATGGCTGGCCTTGAATTTGTTGTGTGTGTCTTTTTAAATACAATCTCAGTACTTGGCCCAGGCTGACCTTGAACTTACTATGTACCCCAGATTGGCCTCAAACTCACAGAAAGACCTGTCTCATCATCCCTAATGCTGGCATTATAAGTGTAAACCCTGTAATCCCACATTGGCATAATATTTCTTTTTCTGTCATTGATTTGCTCACTGTCATCATTTCCTAGTCATCTCTAAAGTGCTTCAGGTGTTGACCAGCTCCACTGTCATGGAGGGAAGACTCAGGAGGGCTGTGCCCCTTAGGAAGAGATGGTTTCAGCCAACGCTCCAGGATGGAAGAGTGGCCTAACTGGGGAGCCCTGAGAAATGAGAATTTCAGCCCCACCCCAAACTTGAGATCAAAATCTACAATTTAACAGTTGTGTGTACACATTAAAGTTAGTGCCAAATGTCTGAGCTCCATTTAGACTAAATACTCAAGGGCTCACATGAATTAACTGCATGAAATTAACAGATAAAAATAGTGCCTAGTTGGTAGTGAGGTCAGGGCTAGAAGGGTAGTCTTGGCAGGAAGTAGGAGCCAAAACCAACGTTCCAGACAGCAAGCTGACACTGGAGGCTTTCAGATTGTCCTGGGCATGCCTGACTCAAATTCTATTCAGAGGGATAAAAAAAATAATCAATAAGCCAAGCAGGTCAGGTGTGGTGGTACTTCACCTTTAATCCCAGCATGCAGAGGCAGAGGCAGACAGATCTCTGTGAATTTGAGGCCGGCCATTTTGGTCTACATAACAAGAGTTTCAGACCAGTCAGAGATTCATTTTTTTAAAAAAGTTAAAGTTTAAAATGAAACTTAAAAGAATTTTTTTAAAAAAAAAAAAAAGTCTGCTAGAGAAGCCTTTGTATGGCTCAGCAGGTAAAGGCACTTGCCACCAAACCTGATGACCTGAGTGTGATCTTTAGGACCCACATGGTTGATGGAGATCTGATTCCTACAAGTTGTCATCTGATCACTACACATAAGCCATGGTGCATGAGCAAACACACAGGGGACCACAGATTTGATACATAGATAGATAGATAGATAGATAGATAGATAGATAGATAGATAGATAAGAATTATAGCTAGATAGATGATAGCTAGATAGAATGATTGATAGATGGATGACAGATAGATAGATAGATAGATAGATAGATAGATAGATAGATAGATTTAAAGTACTAATTGAGTTCTCCCTCTTAAAAATAGGCGATGTCATGGTCTTGGAGGCAGATGTCACTGTAGAAGGGTTCACCACAGCCAATGAGACCGGGGTGCCCATTATGGCCCACCCTCCAGCCATCTACAGTGACAACACCCTGCAGCAGTGGCTGGAAGCTGTACTGGCCTCGTCTCAGAAGGGTAAGGCATCCCTCTGCCAGCCCTACTGGCTCCCCAGTCCCCGCCCTTAAGTAGGGATCCCTCTTGGGTGAGGTGAGTCCAGGGCCCACCCTGAGCTGCTCACTTCCCAGACTTCCATAACTCAGGCTCAGGGGGAGCTAAGTGAGGTGGACAAGAGGAAGTGCAACCCACGTGTTCTCTCCAGAACCCACAGGTGAAACAGGGACACGAAAGAGCAGAGTAAACTATAAAGGGCCAAACAGGGTCAAGGTGTCCCTGTGGGTCCACAGAACTGGATATAAAGTGTTCAAAGCCAAACTCTCTCACCTCCAGCTCTCCTTTCCTGTCTGGATGGAGACAGGAAACCTTCTCCCTCATCCCCTCATCCACTCGGCAGCTGCATAGACTCTAACTCCAGTCACAACCACGTCATTTCTCCCACGAGCTGTCTTCCTCAGAGCCTCATCTAACAGCCACATACCTGTGACTTCTCTGCCTTCACCCTCCATGGCTCCCCTTGTCCTGGCTTAGCTTTCGACATCTCTAACTTGGAAGTCTCATCTCTTGTCTCCACAGTTGGAGATGTCAGATGACAACAGATGGGCAGTCAGTCACACTGGGTAACTTTTTCTATCTAGTTAACCTCTCTACTCAGTGTCACTTCTGGAGGCCTAGTGGACTCCTCACAGGCTGTTGGGGTTCAGGTCTCAGGCTCAGCCCTGTCCAGAAACTCTTTCATGCCAGAGTCTCCCTGAACCAGTCCAGGCCTTCTGCTTTTTTTTTGCTTCTGCCTACCTGGGATGAAGAGGAGAAGAGGAGAACCCTCCTTTTCAAGTGTTAGCTCTTGCTGCCTGAAAGCTTTCCCCATACCCCACCACTGTCTGTTCCCACTCTCTCCCAAGACCTGCCCCACCCTTACCAGCTATTCCTACCCAGCAAGTTGACTTCCGGTTCCCCAGCCCTTACCCCTTTCCTGCAGGCATCAAACTGGACTTCAAGAGTCTCAAGGCTGTGGGCCCCTCCCTGGACCTCCTCCGGCACCTGACTGAGGCTGGCAGGATTCGGAGACCCGTGTGGATCAATGCTGACATCATGAGGGGCCCCAATGTGCCTATCTCGGTTGAGATCAACGCCACACAGTGAGTGTTTGCCCTCTGCCCACTGGGTCCAGCCCTCTTCCGTCAGCACTGAGCATAAAAGTGGACACGGGGGATCTTTGTTGCATTTGCTAGTCCCACCACGAGACCTCAGCACCGAGCCTTTCCCTTTGTCCTGTGTGTTTATGCCTGTGTGCCACAGTGCACCTGTGGAAGTCAGACTTTCAAGAGTTGTTTTTCTCTTCACCACGTGGGGTCTGGGGCTTGAACTCAGGTCATCAGTCTTAGTGGCTAGCAGCTTTACCTGCCGAACCATCTCACCAGGCACCTCTGAGCATGCACATACAGTGTTCCCTCTTGCCTTGGATGCCTGTCCCTTAGTGTGTTTTTAAGACAGGGTCTCTCTATATAGTCCTTGCTGTCCTGGAAGTCATTATGTGGGCCAGCTGCCTCATACTCCTGTTGCCTTTGTCTCCTGGTACCAGGGTTAGAGTAATGGGCCACTATACCTTGGCTTTTTTGTTCATTTGTTTGTTTCTTAGTTATTTTTTTTCCTACCTTTCTTTGTGGTGGGGAGAGGATGAGACAAGTTCTCATACAGCCGAGAACAGCCTTGAACTCTGCATATGGCCTTGAACCTGAGATCCTTCTGTCTCCATCTCTGCTATGCCTGGAGTGCACCAGCATGCTTAGTTGTCCTCCTTTCTCTAGAGTCTTTTTCCAGTCTCTGCCATCTCCAGAAGTGTCCCTAGTACCCCAGGCTCCTGAAGAACTTCCCCTGGGCCCCTCAGCCCTGCTTCCATTGGACCATTTCTGTTGACTTACACGTTTGTCACCCCTGCTTCACTGTGGACTCTGAGGGAGCAGACCACTTTCTGTCTCCCCAGTAACATGCACAGGACTTGACCTTCTAGAAGGTATAAAGAGATGGCTCCCTCCCCAGCCCTCCAGAAAATCCAGCCCCTGACCGGCTAGGAGTATTTTTTTTCCCATTTTTCAGATGTAAAAAGTCACGATGGCAAAAGCATGTTGTTGCATGTTTATTGTGCCCCAGGCACTGTTTCAAGCACTTTACTTGCAGAATACAGCTGAACTCTTAGGAGAATGAGGTAGCAACTAGTCATCTTCATTTTGTAAGTATAGAAACTATCTTTGAGTGGTCAAACGGCCTAAGTCTACAAATGGCAGAGCAAAAGTTCCCACAGGCCTCTCCCTCCCAAGCTTTGTGGTCTGCAGGCACCTCTCCCTCCATCCGCCCAGCCACCCAGCCAATATTTACTGTGATTCTCAAAATGAGATACAGTTGAAGAATACAATTTTTAAAATGTAGTTTAAGGCCCAAGACAAACAAAAGCTTCTCTCCTCAGGTTCCTCTGGAGGCTGGGCGATAGGTGACAACTTTCCTATATAAATCCGCATCAGAACAAAATTCAAATAATTCTTTTTGATGTATTGCTTTGAGACAGTTTCATATAGCCCAGGCTAGCCCTGCACTCACTATGTAGCTGGGGATGAAGGAAGTCCTGATCCTCCTGCCACCACCTCCCAAGTGCTGAGATTACAGGCATGCGCCATCAAGCTTGGCTCATATATTTAAAAAATAATAAGAATAATCTGAAACTTTGGAGACTCAAAGCCAGCTGGCAGCTTGCAGATCTACACACCTTACAAGTCTCACTCAACTCCCTTGGTCCACATGGGGATGTTTAAAAGGCCCTGCCTGCCCTGGCAGACTGTCACTGTCTCTTTGAGAATCGAAGGCTGAAGTGACCACCAGAGGCAGATAGGGACTTGAGCCCAGACCTCTCTGACTGCACAGGGTGGTAGTATCAGCAGGAGCATGTGCAAACGACTGTCGTTCTTTAGAGCTGTGTTGCCAACCTCCTCCAAGTAGAACTCGGCAAGCCTGGCTGCCCCGCATCCCTGAGACAAGAACCTACATGAGGGGACGGGAGTGGTCTGCAGAGGTGGATCTCTCTGTTCTCTGCAGGTTCCTGGCACTTGTCCAGGAGAAGTATCCAGAAGTCACCATTTCCCCCGGCTTTACCACTCTGTATGTGCCTCAGCTGCCAAACAGCACATATACCCAAGCCATGGTGGAGAAAATGCAGGAGCTGGTGGGGGCGCTGCCCCAGAGGATCACCTTCCCAGTCCGGGCTTCCATGGCACGGGCCGCTTGGCCCCACTTCAGCTGGCTCCTGGGCCAATCTGAGAGGTGAAGCCCCCTCTGCTGGTTCCAAACTTATCCTGGGCTCTGATCCAAGAAGAACATGGTGGAAGGGGTCCTAAAGATCATCTTGCCCTGGCCCCAGTGGCCTAACAACCTTCTACAATGCCCTACCTCTGGCTTGTACCCCTCTGGTGACAAGCTGTTCACAGCTTCCATTGGTGGGTAACTCAGAAATAGTGCGTACATCCTCCCACCCCCTGAACTCCTGCTTTCCGTCATCCCCTGGAAGGTGGGTGCTCAAGAGGAGAGGCCAGTGGGAAGCTGGAGGACAGATGTGCCACTCCTGGGCTCAGCTGGCATTCAGTTCTGAGCATAGGAGTAGAGCTGAGGGTCTTTCTGGGCCCAGGTGGGCACTGAGTCAGCTCTCTGGTCCCAGGTACAGCCTGACACTGTGGCAGGGTGCCTCGGACCCCGTGTCGGTAGACGATCTCCTCTTCATCCGGGACAACAGTGCCACCCACCAAATCTACTATGACCTCTTTGAGCCTGTCTTGTCGCAGTTCAAGCAGCTGGCCTGTAGGAAGGGTGCCTATAAGGGGAGGTGTAGGCTGGGTCTGCTCAGGACAGCCTTGGTTGGGCATGGGAGCAGAAGTAGGGGAAACTTCTAGGTGGAACGGGAGACAGGAACCATTCTGAGATCTTGTGTTCTGCCCCTGGGATAGTATGCTATCCAAGCTTCACCTATCCACAAAACAGGAGTCTGGTTCACAGAGAGAGAAAGGGAGGTCCAAAACTACAAATAATTTATACAAGCTTGATCAGAACCAAGCAATTCAACCTCCCCTTGTTTCCACAGCCACTCATCTTTGATGGCACTAGTATTTCAGAGCACAGCCCTCTTCTGTGCCCACTAATTCATGAGCCAGATGCCACCATGCAAACCCCTTGTTCTCTTGACCCTGAGTCTAGGAGCGCCTACACTTAAGCCATCACAAGGGGTCACATCGGGTACCACTCCTATTGAAGGAATCATGTCTGGGAAGCAGAGGAGACCAGCTTTGGGGTCCTCCAACTCTAGCTCCATTTGGTTTTTGGCCCAGTAAACTGTTGACTGGTTGTCAGACCTTGAGACCACAACTTTTAATCTATCCAAGAGGGAACTACTGACAGCTACAGGATTTAGGATGCAGAAGAGCCAGGGCGTAACCATGGATAGTGGTCCTTTCACCTTGGCAATTTTGGGTCCCACAGTGAACAGCACCCGGAAGCGAACCTACTACACAGGTGGCAGCCTGATCCCTCTTCTCCAGCAGCCCAGGGGTGATGGTCTAGAGGTGGAGTGGCTGGTTCCAGAAGTGAATGGCAGTGGGAGAACAGCAGCCATTACTGTCCCTGGTGAGTCTGCCTGCAGCCCTAAAGCTCCTGGCTAACCCACAGGTCTGTCATTTGCTTGGGTGGATAACTTGGTTCTCTGTTACCATGGCAACATGATAAGCCACACACTGAATACAGAGTGGGAGGAATCATGTCGAGAGCAGGAGCTCCTGGCCTTGGACCAGCAGCCTTGAGTCCTCAGCCACCCTGACTAGAAGACTGGGTGGTGACCCAGCTCTGAGTCACTAGGAAGGCCAAGAACTGAGCCAGCAATTTGTCATATCTGCCTGAGAGTCACCAGTCACAGTATTTGGAGCCTGAGATGGGGCTGGCAGATTCAAGAATGGCTGGTACCAGTTTCTCCTTGTCTGTCCCCATGACCTCCACTGCCCCTTTACCAAGAGACACTGACACCCCATAATAACAGGTACTCCAAACACTGTTGCCTCTTCCAGACAGAGAAGGCATGATTCTGCTGGATGTCGGCCTCCAACAACCTGAAGCTGGAAACCCTGTGCCCATCCTGCGTGCCCCAGGTGGTCCTGTTATGACCCTGGAGTCATTTCTGCTGCAGCTGGCTGTTCACCCCAGGCGCTGGGGCATCCATGTGAACATAGTGGAACCCGCAGCTCTCCGGCCATCCCTGGCCACGCTGGCACACCTCTCCACCCTTGGCCATCTGCCCTGGCCTGTGTGGGTGGGGGCTACAATCTCACATGGTAATTTTGTGGTCCCTGGCCATGTGGCTGGCAGAGAGTTGCTTACAGCTGTGGCTGAGGTTTTCCCCCATGTGACTGTGGCACCAGGCTGGCCTGAAGAGGTGTTGGGCAGTGGCTATCAGGAGCAGATGGTCACAGATATGCTGGAGCTATGTCAGGGGCTCTGGCAACCTGTGTCCTTCCAGCTGCAGGCTGGGCCACTGGGCCGGAGTACAGCCAAAGCTGTGGCCAGGCTGCTGGCAGCCTCTCCTCGAGCCACTGTCACAGTGCACCACAGCGTTGCTGGGAACAGCTATGCAGATGCATGGGCTGGGTTGTGGGTGGCCAGGGCTATGGACAGGACCCGAGTCTATTATAGGATACCCCAGGAGTACCGAGAAGACTTGCTGGCAGATGTGAGCAGGAACTGACTGCCCAGTAGGACTGGAGCATCTAATGTGGAAGGCTTCCCTGGGGAGTCAAGGTGAATAAATGCCTCTGCTTTGCTCCACGCACCGTGTAAGACCTGGGGCAGGGTGGGGTGGCCCCTAGAGGGTCTGCAGGCTGGGGGCCAGGTCATTCCGGTTGTCCAACAGGAAACTCTCACAAGCCTTGAACGTATTGTAGAATTCCGTGGACAGGCCTGCCACGTTGGTGGTCACATAGTTGAGAAAGCCAGGGGTGGCCTGGTTGTAGTAAGAAACCTGCAAGGCAGGAAGCCAAGCTCAGAGAGGCATAATGGGGAGAGGCTCAGAGGCTGGGCAGGAGGCAGTCAGTTTCGCTTGCCTCCTTTGGAGGCAACAGGTACAATCCTGAGTCTTAGAGCTCAGTTAGAAAACCTGACTGGCAGGCATGGCCTCCTTTGACAAGTTCCCCAGATACTTGGGGTACTTCAACCCTGGCTGCCCAATCACAACACACCATAAAATCATTGTGTACCTCCATACTGGCCAGGTGGCCCCAGGGGACAGGGATTGAGTCTCCAAAGCCTATCACTGAATCCACCTGATATCAATGTGCTGGGGTCACAGAAACATGGTAGACATAAGCCTTGGACTCGCTTTACTTAGGTCCTTAGCAACTCTGGCCGAGTCAGCACCTGGGCAAGGCTCAGAGCCAATCCAGGGCTGCAAGGGAAACTGCAAGCTGGGGGCGGGGCACAGCATTCCCACCTCCTCCCTACCTTTTCAATTAACACTGACTACCCTGCTGAGCCTTATAGGCCCTCAGAGCCACATAAAGCCCTCCCAGACAAAAGGGGGACACAGTAAATAAATAATGAGACAAAATTTTAGATCAGAGTTGAGCTTTCTGTAGTCCATGTCCAGAGCTATTTCTAAGCCCCAGTGGCCGCTCACTGTCAACACAACTAAATCTCAATGAATACCTCTTTGCAGTCTCAGATGCTCTGACTTCTCCAGGCTAGGAAAGCTGGGAGGTTATAGGGGCCCTGGTCTGGAAGGGTCCCAGCCCAGAGCATTGAATTCAATTCACCCACAGGTGGGAGGGTAGAAGGGACACCAGGCCTCACCTTAGTCAGCTGGTCCCCCTCACGCCACAGACAGAAGCCTGAGCAGAGAGTCTCCCCTCGTTGATATTCTGGCGTCTCACGGTGCGTGGGCAGTGTGACTGACCTCAGTGCGATGACATAGGGGTCCCTGGAGGGGAGTCAGAGTGAGAAGAAGTCAGAGATCATCCATAGGAGAAGGTGGGTCCCTGTCCTGTTCCCAGGCATATATTTACTCCCTCAGAGCCTGGTGTCTTGCTCAGGGCCAGCTCTAGACAGGGGGCATCTGTGTTAGCATTGCCAGGTTCAGGCCTCAAGTGTCCCCATGGATCTGTGTGTCTTGGGGTTTCTATTCTCCTGGTCCTTGTCTCCAGTCTATCCTGGCTGCACCCATGCTGCAAGTACCAGTCACAAGCTTCCAGGGGACAGAAGCCAAGGGATAGTCATGTGAGAGGTACCCCATGCATGGCCTTAAGTGCAGCAGCCTCGGCCACAAGCACCATGAAAGCCTTGCTTTCAGGAGCCGTATATGCCCTTGCTGGCATGGTGAACCCCCACTGGCAGCCTCCAAACAGCTGGTGGGTTCTGGGTCCAACCACCAGTGGGCAGCAGAGCTCTGACTCCAAGTTGCTGCTCCCCCTGAAGAGGGAGATGGGGACCTCTCCACCCCTACTGCACCCCTCAGAAAGCAGGCACTCACCCATTGTCACAAGGCTTCCGCCTGGAGGCCAGGATCACAAAATCTTGGGGCTTGGTATTACCACTCAAGGCAGGGCTGATGACATGGTAGATAGCATCATCTTCATCTACCCGCTGTACCAGCTCCACACTCCTGTTGGGAGGCTGGAGTCAGAACCTGGGAGCCACAGCAGCTTTCCAGTCGGCTAGGACTAGAGGCCCTCCAGGATACATGCATGCATGAGTGTATGTATGCAAGTGCCCATGCATGTGTGTGCATGTGTGTGTACACAACACACACAAAGTCATGCACACCAGAGCAGATACATGCACATGTATGCATATACAGAAACATACACAGGTATATGTTGACACATGCAAACACATAGGCACACAGACGTGTACTCAAGCAAATACACTTATACAGACTGACAGTGTCAATTGTCAACTTGACAGACTCTAGAACCACCTGGGAGATGGGATTCTAGGCATGCCTGTAGAAGATTACCTTGATTACATTAATTGATATAGGAAGACCCATCTCAACTGTGGGCAGTGCCATTCCCTGGGCAGGGATCCCTGACTGCACAAAATGGAGAAAGTGAACGGAGTGCCAGCATGCATTTGTTCCGCTCTGTTTTGTTATTACGGATGCAGTATGAACAAGTGCTTCAAGCGTCTGCTGCTTTGACTTCATCACCATAATGGGCTGGACCTTGAACCCTGCAGCAGAATGACCCATTCTCCCTTTCTTTGCCTTCATCGGGGTATTTTATCATAGCAACAGAAAAGAAACTAAGACACATATAGACACAGGAACACCAAAGCTACATATAAGCATATGCTCACACATGGGCACACGTGCACAAGCACACAGGTAGACACCACTGAACACACAGATCTGCCCGCAGGTGCACACACCCCAAGTAGCTCTTAAAGGATTTGGTAGCTGTACGTACTAACGAATGAGTCCCCAGTGTATGCCAGGTGCTGTGCTCCTGTGATTTCACTCAGTCAGTCTCCCTCCACAGCACCACGTGCTGTGGGCAGTCTCAGTATCCCCACCAAATAGAGGGACTGAGGCCAGGGAATAACCCACCCTGGGTCACAGAGCTCATGAGAAAACAGGGCTGGGTGTCCAGCCTGGCTGGTAGCAGAGACATAACAAGCCCAGGCACACACACATACATACATCCAGGTATACAACCACAGACTGACTTTGGTACCTACAGACACACAAGGACAATCTCATGAGGACACAGGACCACATCCGCACCTTCCTCTCCTCTCCTCCCCCACTCTGCTGCATGCTGGCTTGGAAGCAGGCTGGCTGTGCCAGGCTAGAGAAGTGTGCTGGGGGCTCTTTACTCTTAGGTCACTCATACCCTCAGTGAGGCTTGATCTGGTCCATACCAGCCCACCTTTTCCAGTTCCTCTGCCTAACCACCACCCATCACCAGCCACTTCTCAGCTTTCTAAGCACACCACCGGCAGGCCCAGGATACTCAGACACAGCATTCCAAGGCAACACAGTTCATTCTCTCCCTCTTCCTTACCTTTCCTTTCCTTCCTGCTCTTGATCTCTCGCTCACTTGTTCCATCTCTTGCTCTTGCTCTGTGTGCATGTGGGTGTGCATGTGTGCGAGCATGTACGAGCATGCACACACATGCGTGCACATGAGTACAAGTGTTTGTGAGTACAGGTGTTCACTTAATGGTGCATTGTGGACAGCAACAACCTCAAGTATTGGTCATTGCTATTCACCTCTGTGTGTCCCTGGCTAACTGGCCCTACAAGCTCCATGGGGTCTCCTGTCTCTGTCTCCCATCTGGAAGAAGGAGCACTGGATTGCAAACATGAAAGTCATGCCCAGTTTTACATGGTTCCTGGGGTTCAAATACAAGTCCTCATGCTCGTGGGCAAGTGCTTTATCCACCGAGCCCAGCACATGGCTGCGAAAAAAGCTTAGGCGAGAAGCCCAGGTGTGAGCGGCTACAAGTGCTCTGCTGAGGGCAGACTCGGGAAGAAGGAAGGAGCAGGCCACTTTGTGGAAAGTCAGCTGGTGATGAGCCACTCACTGCATTCTGGAGTCCATCCAGCCTCCCAGGAAAGCATGTGCAGTGTAGGCTCCAGGTGAGCCACAGCATCAGCAGGACAAAAACTGACTTCCAGGATCTTGAACAAATGCCACTTTAAACATTAACTCTCCCAACCCCACAGGTAGGCTCAGCAGGTAAGGCACTTTCCCAGCAAGCCTACTGACCTGAGTTCAATCCCTGAGACCCACAAGTTGTCCTCTGACCTACACACACACACACACACTCCATTTTTAAGAATGTAGGGGCTGGGTAGATGGTTCGGTGGTTAAGAGCACTGGCTGCTTTTCCAGAGGACCTGGATTTGAGTTCTAGCACCCACATGGCAGCTCACAGCCATCTGCAACTCCAGTCCCAGAGAACCCGATGATTTCTTCTGGCCTCCATGGGCACCAGACACACATGTAGTACACGGACAAATACTCAGGCAAAATATCCATACTTGCCAGGTGGTGGCAGAGCACACCTTTAATCCTAGCACTCGGGGAACAGAGGCAGATGGAAATCTGAGTTCGAGGCCAACCTGGTCTTTAGAGTGAGTTTCAGAACAGCTAGGGCTACACAGAAAAATCTTGTCTCAGAGAAAAAATAAAATACCCATCCTCATAAAATGAATGAATAAAACTTTTTTTTTTTTTTTGAGACAGGGTTTCTCTGTGTAGCTTTGGAGCCTATCCTGGCACTCTCTCTGGAGACGAGGCTGGCCTCGAACTCACAGAGATCCACCTGCCTCTGCCTCCCGAGTGCTGGGATTAAAGGCGTGTGCCACCAATGCCAGGCTGAATAAAACTTTTTGAGAAAAGGGGGAAATTGAGGCCCAGAAAAGAAATGACCTGACCAATGGTGCATAGCCATTTAGAACAGGTACAGGACTTAAATGCAGGCCTCCACATCCAATTCCAGGCTCAGCCCCTTCCCTAGGGCTTCAACATGCTCACGAATCACTGCCACCTAACACATTATACCATATGGTCAGATCCGTCCCTACAGAAGGCCAGTAGGACAAAGCATCATGGGAGATGTTTAGAACATCAGCAGGCAATCCTCCCACCTGTGGCCTAGCAATGGCCCCTCACCGGTAATGCTTGTCCCACTCTGGCCTCCGGAGCAGGTCGGAGAGCAGTGTAAAGACCTGGGCAGCGTCCACGTGCACCACCATTTCCAGGTGAAAGGACAGGAACTCCTCCTCCAGGATGTACAGGCGGACCTGCGTAGCAAAGAGGGTAACCGGGTAGCCTCCTTGCACCACACCCCCAGACCGTGCTGCTGGTGGAGGATGGCTCCTGAAGTCAGGGCTGCCACTGACACAGTCTGACTGAAGACACTCTTGAATGTCTCTGAGACTTAGTCACAACCCTGCAAAAATGGACCTCTGACGGAGCGCAGTGTGGACAGACAGAAAATACCTCTTTAAGAAGCAGTAATCAGGGCTGGAGAGATGGCTCAGAGGTTAAGAGCACTGGCTTCTCTTCCAGAGGACCTGGGTTTAGTTCCCAATACCCATGTGGCAGCTTATAAACCCACTGGAGTCTAGTCCCAGGGGATCCGACTCCTTATTCTGGCTTCTTCTAGGCATACATGTGGTACACAGACACACATGCAGGTTAAACATCTATACATATAAAAATAAATAATTTTTAAAAAAAAGAAAAGAAAAAGCAGTAATTGAGGCAACAGGTCTCCAGATCCTGGCTTTATCCAATTCCCTGTTACAGGCAGGGATATGACTTGTCAAGGGACAGGCAAGAGGGGCAGAGCTCACACTGCCCACTGCCCCATCCCTTCAGGGAGCTGCTGTGCATAGAGCCAAAGTAGAGTGTGGAGGAAAGGGCTGTGCAAAGCTGTGGGCTCAAGAGCGGGTGAAAGGTGACAGGCAGTACGAAAGGACCAGGGGCTTCACTCAGGGCCCTTGGAGATAGTCACATTTCTGAAACTGGGTAGCTTTGAGACCTCGCTGGATTGCTTTGAAGATATCCACTTTGATGCTTGCCACCAGCCAACCTTGGCCACTTGTAAGGGACAGGAAGGGACAGGTGGGTCAGTTACCTCATCGATCTCCACAGACAGCACCCAGTTGTCCTTGGCCATAAGCGTCTTCAGAGAGGATACATTATAATAGCTCAGGTATACCTGGGAAGATACCACCAATAAATGCTACCTTCTCCTGCCCCAGAGGTCCCTGGGTGGGGATGTGCTGATATAGGGAAAGGAACTGGACTTTGGGAAAGGGGTCCAGGCTCCCATAAGCCCTCCACACAACCCTGAGCAGCCACCACCAGATCTGCTACTCCCTCTTGCAAAACAGGGGACACACACGTCATCTGTGACAGCAATCATGAAACAGAACAAAGGGTTTTCCATGGTCCTGGGCCTGTGAATTTCCCTCCAAAACCACTCTGGCCAAAGGGAAGGGAAAGGGCCCTGTGGGCTTTGAAACAAAGGGCTTTACCTGGTTGCTAGGGTCCCAGGGGACAGACAGGGCCACTTCTGCCTGCTTACAGGACACAAGGTATTTCCTGAGAGAGAAGAGGACACCCTGGGTCTCTCAGAGTCCACTGTTCTTAGCAGATGTCATTGTCTACTGCATGCCAGGCCAGTGTTGAGCCCAGTGGGGATGAAGACTTCCTGGCAGGGTGACTGGGCACACTGACACTCAGAAAACAGCCCCTGAGAACATGCATTCAGTTCACAGGGGACTGGCAAGGAAAAAAGGACAAGGCTCAGGCTCCCCTTCACCCAGGTCTCAGTATTCTCTTTGGAATGGAATCCATGTCACCTGCAGGACTCTATAAGGAGCAAAGTGCTTAGTATATGATAAATGTACCAGAAAATGTAGGCTTTCCTTATTAATACAGGGTGTGAGTCTGGATGCAGCTACAACACTCTACAGTTGTTTTGTTGTTATTTAAACTTTTTATGATTTACCTATTTTTATTTCTTATGCATCTGTGTTTTGTCTGCATGTAGGTCTGTATGAGGGCATTGCATCCTCATGGAACTGGAGTTACAGACAGTTGTGAGCTGCCATGTGAGTTGCTGGGAATTGAATCCAGGCCCTCTGGAAGAGCAGCCAGTGCTCTTAACCTCTGAGCCATCTCTCTAACCCTACTCTACAGTTCATAAGGTACTTTACAGAAGACTCAGACATGTCAGGTTACACATCTTGAGCCACTGGGTCTGTGTTCTAAACCTTTCTGGGTTTTGCTTTAGTTGATTTGTTTTGGTTGAGATAGATCTCTCTATGGAGTCCAGGTTGGCCTTCTAGCAATCCTCTACCTCATCATCCCTGCCAAGTGCTGAGATTTGACTGTTTCATCAAACAGGTCAAACAGGCCTCAGAGTCACTGGGTTAAAAACAAGATTTAAAATCACCCAGACCAAGCCAGGACCAACAGTAAACCTCACTCAACTGTGTGTCGTAAGGACAAGAGACCTCTAACCCTCTGTCCTCAGTGTTCTGGTGTATAAAAGAGCAGTAAGATGCTTTGTGTGACAATGAAAGCAAAACAATATGCAATGCAAAGAGCCAGCCCAGAAGACAGAGGCAGAGGACTCCCAAGAGTTCAAGACCAATCTGAACTACTTAGTGAGTTCCAACCTAGCCTAGGCTATAGGGCTACAGTGTGAGATCCTTTCTCTAAATAAAATTAAATTAAATTAAAATAAAGGGGATTGGAGAGGACCACCCACGAGCTTGAATGTCCTGGAGCCAGTGGGTGGAGCCCAGCCCTGAAGCATGTCCCTCCCACTGTCCTCCCCACTCACCTGTCCAGGCGGATTTTCTTCCTGGCACTGGCCTCTCGGTATCGACGCTCACCCTCCTAGGAAAGAAGCAGGGACAGGTTGTGGTACAGCTGGGATGACCAGCTAACCCATAGCTCTGCCATCCCTGTTCTCTGGGGTCAGAGGACCTTGCAGTCCCATTGAGAAGCTCAGATCTTGCTAGGGCAGCAGGAGTCAAAACATCATTACTGGGAAAGTGTCAGGGCCCCAGTCTGTAGCTTAGCTCCCTGTGGAGTCTTTGGTGACCTTGGGGACCCTGGCCCCCTTCTGGGCCTCAGTTTTCCCCAATGTAGAATAAGATGGTGAAAAAAACCTCACAGTGGTACCTAGAGCTACATTCAGTAGGCACTTGCTGGAGACTAGGCCCTCACAAGGGCTCTGCTTGAGACCACTACTCCTGCTCTATGTTCAACATTCCTGAGCCTAGAACCTGTGATTCCCAGTTTACACAGGAGGAAATGGAGGCCCAGTGGGTTGAATGGTTCCCAAGGTCATAGGAGTACGAGGTGGAGCCGGGATCAGAACTCAGAAGGCCAGCTTAAAGCCCACCTCCTCTTAACCCCACTCAAAAACACAAAGATGGAACCAGTAATTATCCTGGCCGCACGAACTGGCTTTTAGATCCCATTCCCTATGGAGGGATACCTCGCTCAGCCTAGACACAGGGGGGAGGACCTTGGTCCTGCCTCAAATGATGTGACAGACTCTTACGATCGTCCATGGGAGGCCTCGCCTCTCTGAGGAGTGGATGCAGTGGGGGGTGGGGAGAAGGGAAGGAGAGAGAACTGAAATTGGTATGTAAAATAAGATTGTTAAAAACACACACAGCTGGGTGTTGGTGGTGCACGCCTTTAATCCCAGCACTCGGGAGGCAGAGGCAGGTGGATCTCTGTGAGTTCAAGGCCAGCCTGGTCTCCAGAGCGAGTGCCAGGATAGGCTCCAAAGCTACATAGAGAAACCCTGTCTCAGAAAACACACACACACACACACACACACACACGCACGCACACACACACACACACACACACACACACACAAAAAAAAAAAAAAAAAAAAAAAAAAAAAACAGCAACCGGTCCCCAGCAGGCCAAGAGTGTGTGTCTTTACAGAGAACCCAGTCATCCACATGCCCCTGTCCCCATAATGCTGACCATGATAATTTCTCAAGGGCTCCAAAGCTTTGCAGGCAGTTGGTTCTCCACAGTCACATCTTGGCAAGCAGAAGTTGCAGACCCACTAACCACACAGATAAGGACTAAAACTCATGTAAATATATGTCTAAGAATGTGGCAGGGGTGAGACCCTACCAGCCTTGAGCTCCCAAGCCAGGGGTCTCTGCAATCTGTGGGATGTTCAGGTCCATGAGCCCCCAACATCAGCCAGATCTCATGGTATGTTTCAGTGCTGGCAGGCAGAGCAGGTGCCCAGCTTCATAGGGGAATCCCCGAGTCACGACCAGGACACTCAGATCTGGTAGCACCTCAGTGAAGAGCCAGGGATGGGACTGCCACAGAGTGACAAGTGAGGGAACTTGGGGATAGGGCATTTACCCCAGGCTGGGGACGAATCCAGGGAAGCTTCTGAGGCTGGTCATCTTTGTCCAGGACCACAAAGGTCATGAAGGCACTGTTGATGTGCCGTCGCTGGGTCTCAGCCTCCTGGCGATAAGCCTCCACACAGACGCCCACCTCCATGCTAAAAGGTCAAGGGAACAATGGAGTCAAGTTCAACGGACCTTCACCAGGCTATGCTCTGCGACATCACACACTAACACACAAGCACACACAGGCAGGCAGGTGCACCTAGAGTATCTACACACTCTCTTGCAGATCTTCCAGAAACTGTACCCAAATCCCACTGGCCAGAACCATACATGTCCTCTTCAGTGATCTTACAGAGCACATAGTGTGTTCATTCATCAAATGAACCTGTCCAGCCAGGCTTCAGGCTAACAACCCAGGAAGTCCACAAAGCAAGAGAGCAAAGACACCCAAAAGTCACCAGAGGGCAGGTGACACAGCTCAGCAGGAAAAGCATTTGCTGCCAAATCTGACAACCTGAATTGGATCCTAGGGATGCATTATAGTAAAAAATAGAAAACTGATTTCCACAAATTGTCCATGTGGCATGCTCAGGCATCTCTCTCTCTCTCTCTCTCTCTCTCTCTCTCTCTCTCTCTCACACACACACACACACACACACACACACACCACTATAAATAAATAAACATAATTTCTTAGAAATTAAGTCACCGGAAATTACAAAGGAAGCTAGGCATGCTGGCATGTGCTAGTAATCCCACCACTAGGGATGCTGAGGCAGGAGACTGACATGAATTAAAGGCCAACCTTATAATCCCAGCCCTGGGGACATAGAGAAAGAGACATTAAATAGCTTGCTCAAAGCCACACAGCCTGTGAGAAGTGGAGCCAAACTTGAACCCAGGCTGCCCGACTCCAGAGTGCTCACCATTAATGAGCACACATTCTCAGAAATAGCCTTTAGTTAAAGTCAGTTGCAGTGAGAACAGATATCAGAACTCATCCCAGGGTGAGATGTTAGAATACCTGTTTTAGGACATGGGTAGGAAAGGATCCAGGAAACATGAGCAAGAAGAGGCCCTGTGACCCTTGCACCCAGCCAAGCAGGAGAGAGATGGGGCACACAAGCACTGGGCAGCTTCCCACTTGGTGGGAGACAAAGAACCTATGGAAAACCTAGAGAAAAACCCCAGTTCCACCACTAGACAACAATGGGAGTCATAGAACATTCCAGAAAAGGGAACACTAGGTAAACTTGGGCCATGTGAACAACTCTGCAATTCAGACCTTGTTTGCTGGGGAAAGACTTGGTGGGTCTGCATTAGGTAGTTTCTAGGGTCAGGAAGAAGCCACAACCCTTGGTGGCCCTGTCGCAGCCATCCTGACTCCTCACCTATGCTTGAAGGCGTTATTCACGATGGCCTTGAACACCAGACGGTCCCCCACCTGTGATGGGCCTCGGAAATGGAACATCTCAATGGCCTTGAGTGTAGGGTGGGCATGACAAAGACGGCTAGGAGAAAGATAGGGAGACAGAAGAAATGGTTGGTGCTACATCAGGGTGCTTGGGCCAGCCTTCTCAAGGCCCTAGCCCCTAACCCATTCTGGACCACATGAATGGTCCTCTGGCCCAGGTCAGGAATAATTCTGCTCCGTGTATCACACTAAAGCTGTTTCCAGCTTAGCATGCTGAAGCCACAGTACATGGCTAAAAAGGAGCTGAATTTGAGGCCAGAAGAAAGCAAGCCTAGAGTATGACCCCTTCCCCTCCTTCCATTGGCATTTTTGCTTCAGTGTCTATGTCCCCTGATACCTTGGAGCCCACTCCTAAAGAGCTTCTTGTCACTGGAGGCCCCAGTGAGGTACTGCTCCACCAGAAAGCTTTCCCTGATCATCCCAGGCCCCGAACTCCTCAAGTCTCACACTCACAGACCAGGCTTCTCAGATGTTATTGCTTAGACACACTATCTCCAGCTTAACCTCAGAGTTGACCTAAGCTGGGCTCTCAGAATGAAAACTAGCCCAGCGGAGGAAGGTGGCTTAGGGAGGGGCTGAGAGGACAGCAAAGACAAAGTCATGGAGGCACAGGAGTGTCGATTAATGACCACCGGTTATCACAACTGTTTTTTTCAAACCCTTACAGCTAGAGTTCCATGGACTCCAGTCCAGTACAGGGGCTATCAGAGGAAGCAGAACTTATTTTCACCATTAGGAAGAGGGACCAGTCCACAGTGGTATTATGGTGGGGCTGGGCAGTGTACTGAATGGTGGGAGGTCACACCAGGAGCAAAATGAGGGGCTGGGAAATTTGGAGGGCAGGAACAGAACCTAAAGGAGCAGTTACTAACTGGAGTGCAAACAAAGCCAGACCAGGGGCGGCTTCAGGGTCAGTCTGGTGGGGAGACTCCCAGTGGCTACAGGAATGTTGATGGGTGGGTAGAAGAAGGCATGGCCGGCTCACAGAAATGGATCCTCACTGGTTTGATAGGTGTAAAAATCCAGGGTTACCTTCACAGAACACCCAAGCTTATAGAGCCTTGAGTTATGACATAGTAAGGGTTTCTCTTGCCAATGAAACAATCTCTGGAAGAAGCAGAGAAGGTGCAAACAGAGGCTGTCTCACCTGGCTGCAATGGTGGCCACATTCTCCATCCAGGCCATGATCTGGCCCCCAAAGGTATTGCCCTGATGATTGGCATGAGGAGGCAACACCAGTTCCACACTCTCCACTCGGGTCTTCTCTGCTGGCACCATATTGCTGCTGTCCTTGTCCAGATCTGGTCAGGGAGGAAGGCGGGGAGGTAAGAAGATCCCCAAGGATAGACTGTCCATGGAAGCCCCAAGACACTGACCCCCACCCTGGAGTATTAACGTAATACCACCAATTGATCACAAGGCTAGACCAGCCCTGGGTAAAGAATGGAAGGACATGGAAGAAGGGACATAAGCCTGCCACAGGGCAGCAGACAAGGCACACCTGAGCCAACCTCTGCCACACCGAACACAGGCTGTATGACCTTGGATGCGTCAAGCAAACCACTGGATCTCAGACACCCATCTGGAAGGAGCCAAGTGTCAGCCCCAGCCAGACAGGATTGTGTGTCAGTGAGGGATGGGTTGTAGCTGTAATGTGCTCAGCTCAGTCAGTGGCTGCCTGCCACCCTGACTGGTCCCTGTTCCTTGCAGGGGTGGCACTAGGATACCACTAGGTGGGAGAGGCCAATGAGCAAACAGGACCTCAGGGGCCCAGAGAACTGACGCCAACATGCCCAACTGAAACAAAGTGCTGTCATGTGTCCCCAGAATCCTAAGAGAGTCCTCTGCAGAGCACCCAGCAAAAAAGATTTTCCCTTGGATGAAAGGCCTGGTGAGATGTCACAGGGAAGCAGAAGCTGAAAATGACCTAAGCCCAGGTCTGGAGGAGGTACTGGCAGGCACCAAGGCCTTTGGCTAAGCTTATGGGAGGACACAGGCCCTGGGGCTGAACCTTTAGTCTGAGGCTTGGATGCCAGGCAGAAGTATCTAGACTGACCCTTGGAGGCATGCTGCCGGGACAGCAGGGATGTGGGAGGGTTGTGACAGAATGGACAGAGCCATAGAACCAAACCAACTGGAAGAGTTGGGCTTCCTCTAACTCTAACATCCCCTAACTAAGTCAGCACAGTGGGGTTCAAGTAACTCAGAGCTCAGAACTCAGAGTCAGTGAGTTTCCTCTGCTCAGAGTCAGTGAGTTTCCTCTGCTCTCTCCAGGTTTTGGCAAAGAACAATTACCTGGCTTGTCAGTTTTGTTGTTTTCAGTGCTGGGAATTGAACTCAGGGCAATGTACATGCTAGTCAAGTGCTCTACCAGAACCTCTGTGTTCTTTTGTTTGTTGTGAGACAAGGTCTCTCCTTATAGCTCTGGCTGGGCTGAAACTCAATTAGTAGAACATCTGGCCTTAAACTTGTAGTGATCCTCCTGCCTCTGTCTCCCAAGTGCTGAGACTATAGAGATTGAAACCACGTCTGGCTCCTTTTTGGTTTTGTTTTGTTAATTTTCTATTTTATTATTATCATCATTATTATCATTATTATGAGTGTGGAGGATGATAATGGTGATGTGGGGGTTGCTTTTTGCTACAGGATGCATTTGAAAATCAAAGGACAATTTTGTGGAGTCAGTTCTCTCCTTCCATCTTTAAGTAGGTTCTGGGTATTTAACCCAAGTTGTCAAGCTTGCACAACAAGTTCCTTTATGTGTTGAGCACATCTCACTGATCCTCTCTTAGGGTTTTTGAGAGAGGGTCTTTGTCTGTAGCCCAGACTTGCCTGCTCATTATATGGACTCAGGAACAAACTCACAGCATGCTCCTGCCTCAGCCTTCCATGTGCTAGATTTACAGAAATAACCCACCACACCAGGTGTTCTTGCAGGTATTTTGAGAGGAGGGAGGTGTAAGAGCATAGGATGGGGTTTCTTGGAGTGCAGACTGGCCTCAGACTTGCTGCATAGCCAGGCTCCTCCTGCCTCAGCCTCCTATGGCATGTCACTGTTGGAATTGCCAGTATGAACCACTATGCCCAGCCAACATTCAGTTTCTGCTTGTTTATTTTGAAACAGGATCTCACTATGTATCCATAGGTGATCACATACTTCATATGTAATCAAGGCTGGACTCTAACCATGATCCTCAGTCTCCAGAATGCTAAGATTACTGGTGTGTGTCACTTGACTCAGCTGAATTACTTTTTATTTGTCTGAAAATTGGCTCCTCCAATTTCAATATGAAGGAAGACCTCACATAAGAACATGGAGATGGATAAAGAAACCCAGGGTTCCTGTTCCTGCCTCCCAGGGCCTTCGTCCTCTGTAAAACATCTTTCTCACCTCTCCACCTGCCTAAATCCCACCCAGTCCAAGGCAGATCATCCTGTACCAACAGAGAACAACCATCAAGAGAGATTTTTATAGAGGAGAAAAATCAAGATCAAGATACAGAGCAATGTGTCCTACGTGTTCCCTTCGGGGTAAAGACAGGGAACTAAATAACAAACACATTGCTTAAATCTACAAAGATCACCCCTAGAAAGATATTCAAAAGCAGGTCACAGTCTTTGCCTTGGGGGAAATGACCTAGGCTCTAGGATGGTGGGAGCCTTGCTTTTCATCTTTTTGTTTTTCTTGGGAAGAAAAAGAAAGCATATATACACACTTGTACACAGATGCTTTTGAAAATTCTTCTAAGTCTTCAAAGCCTAGCCCAACACTATCATCCCACACATCTCCTAAAGGCCCAAATGCATTGTGGGTGACAGGGATTTCAGTAGATCCCCACTCTATCGCCACTGCCTCTGGGCTGTGAGGGAGTGGCTCTGGCATCTGCTTTCCCTGGAAGGGATCTTGAGGCCAAGGAGGCCAGAGAAGCCTGAGGTCACCAGGGACAGAGGTCCAGAGGGGATTCCTTCCTCCTTCCACTCAAAGGAGGTTCGAGGACACCAGCTGCCCTCCTGTGTACACCCGGCTTCCCTCTTATGCACATACCCACACTCACCATCCTGGATGACACAGTGGGCCAGGAGGTCCTTGATGGTGTCTGCGTAGACCAGCCTCATGCGCCGGCGCTCAGCTGCCACCCCGTGCTCCGTCTTCTCCTCCTCTGTCAATGGTATGACCTGCTTCAGCTTCACCTGTTGGCCAAGAGAGAGGGGGACCAGTTTCCTAAGACAGCACAGTAGTCTGATGCCTGAGACTGGTACCGAGTGGGTCTGGGCTGCTAGGGTGGGAGACAGTGCTCCAGAGATCTCTCCCCTCTATGCTCACCTTCCTGTCTCCATTGTAACCCAAAAGGGCATAGATTTCTCTATGCCCCCTAGATCCCTTCCTGGGCAAAGGTCCAGAAAATGGAGGGATCTGTTTAACAGTGTTCTGAAGACTCCTCCTGTTTAAATGTGCAGGGAGAGGCGGGGAAAGGATGAGGAGGAACCTGGGTAGGATCACAGAGGGTCCCACTGGGGGTATGGTGGGTATGACAGAGCAGCTGGGACAGCCGCCTACCTTGGAGAGCTCCCGGTGGGCCACAAAGGTGGCCAAGGCCTTGCACACACTCCACTGCTTCTCGGAACACAGGTCCTCAGAGACCACCTGGATGCCCACCTAGCGAGAGGGGGGGGGCATGGGGAGGGAGGGGAGCAAGCTGATTGCAGCCTGTTGAAGCTAAAGAGCCACCCAGGCTGAGCCTCTGAACATAGGGTTGGTTATGACTTTCCCTTGGTTCCCTGGAAAACCTTGGACAATTCCCTTCTCTAAGTCTGTTTCCTCATCTATAGGATGGGAGTGGTCACAGCTACCCTGGAGGGACTACTGAAAGGGTTAAAAAGTGCCCCTAGAGCTGGGCATTGGTGGCACATTCCTTTAATCCCAGAACTCAGGAGGCAGAGGTAGGCAGATCGCTGTGAGTTCAAGGCCAGCTTGTTCTCCAGAGCGAGTGCCAGGATAGGCTCCAAAGCTACACAGAGAAACCCTGTCTC